GCCGCTAGCATCGAAAATCAGTTTTGTGGGCTTTTGGGACCGTTCCAAAATGCCAGTGGCCGATATCACAGCCATCTTCACCAGTGATTCTGAATCCGCGATGCTTTCGTGTTTCAACGGGCTGCGCTGCGCCTGCCACAGACTGCAGACTGTGCTGAAAGACACGTTTGTGCACAAGGATAGTGGTGTTTCAGCCCACATCCGCACCATCTTTGTATGTGCGTCCGATCTAGTTACATACTTTCAAAAGTGTGGACAAGCTGCCGTACTCCCCTCGATCTTGCAGACTGTAATTGATGTCCGCTGGAACAGCCATTTGTCGACGCTGGAGAGCATATTGCGCAATCGCAGAAGATTGAGGCGTTTCTTCACTCTCAAGACAATGAAGAGCGCATTATCATTGTTTGAGCAGCTCAGCCAGGGAGTTACGCGAGGTACGTCGTGGGACTATGTGCAAGCGCTGGTATCGATCATGGGGGTGTTCAAGAGAGCAATTGACTTGCTGTAGAGTCGTGACCGCCCGACTGTGCATCTTGTCTCCTAATTAAGGTCCCAACTGCCCAAATATGCTTGATGATATTAAGTTTGCACCTGCGGCAATGAAGCACAATCTGCGCGCGGTGATTGCTGAATTGTAAGCAAACATATCGAACAAGTTTATCCCCGATGTCATTCATGAGGTTGCGTACCTCTTGTATCCGCTTTTCAAGGTGGTGGCAGCCGACCAGGATGGCGTACGTGCAGCGACACTGGCTCACATGGGGAATATGGCTGCGGCATTTCCCAATCTGCTGCACCAAGAGACGGAGACCGGGCTGGATGAGGCGGTCATGGAAGGTGTGCAACTGCCATCTTTCATAACGTTTGCGCCACCGACAAGCACGGGGGATGGTGAGGGTGCGGCAGATCAACCCGCCGCCGAATCTACGCAAGACATGCTCAAAAAGGAGCTGGGATGCTATTTGGGAGGGAAACTGTCTACCAAAGAAATCCTGGAGAGCTGTCAGTTTCCGAACAATGAGGACAAGGACGCTTACGTGTACTTTGACATACTTGGCTACTGGAAGTCCAGGGCAAGCAAGCTCCCACTGCTCGCAAATCTTGCCTCGTTTGTTCTGGCTATTCAGGCAAGCAGCACAGAATGCGAGCGCAGCTATAGCACCGCGCTCTTCATCAAGTCCGTGCTGCGCTCCGCGCTTTCCAGTGACTCCTTGGGAGGCAACGTCGTTCTTCGTGACAGCCCGGACCTTCTCGAAAAGTACCTTGGTGAGATTGAAGAGACCGACACCGAACCCGAATACGCAGATCAATAAACATTTGTGCTGTTCAAAGTCATTACCTAAACTGCATCGCAATGTCGCGAAAACTGCAATCCCTCTTTGAAGTTTCAGTGTTTGATCAAGCGAGGTTGACTTGCAGGTAATTCGCCGTCCCAGTGCTGACGGGTAGATTAAACGTGCCGTCAAAATCATCAAACGCTGGCGCTGAATTTAATTGACTTTATCAGAATTTGAAGGGTCAGTGGTCGGTGGGTAAGTTTAAGTTACCCATGAGTTGGGTCGTGGGTCACCCACGGGCAGTTTTGGAGTGGTGGGTCGACCGATTCGGTAGGTTACCCACGACCCCACCAACCCATGCAGGGCCCTGGTTTAGACTGATCCTCTGTGAGGATAGAACAATTCTCCTCTTTGCCCCAGGGCATGCAGGACGGGCTTAAAAAGCTAATGTCCTTGCTGGGCCCTGAGAGCGTGTAATACCTTGCTGCGCAAGGCCGCGAGGCAATCGGTACGCGTCTAGAGGTGTTTTCAAATTACGAAAACGTGCTGCTAGAGCACCTGCAGCAGTAGCTGTCTACTTCTTTTGCGTCTATGACGCTACTGCCAGTAACGGATGACTTTTCCTGCCCTTAGTAGCGATAAGGTCTTTGAGGGGAAGGATAAAGAGAATCTCCTGCTCTGGGTGAGAGAGGTCAGGTCGAGATGGCCATCGCAACCGCCATGCTCCAGACCGAGCAACAGCGCGTGGCGCTAGCCATCTCAAAGCTCGGTGG